ACAAACAGCTGCAATCTTTTTAAGATGTTACTTCTTTTTCTTATTTCTTATTATCCCCAAGCTCTACCAAGTGAAATGGGATGACTTCTTGAGCCAGCTGGGCTAAGCTCAATCACTTCCCAAAGCATTTATAGCTGAGGGAATTTGCTGTGCCATGGGTCTACACCAAAAGGCACTAGCAGCCTTGTTACAGTACCAGAGGGGGCACAGCGCAGCCTGCAGCTCCATGGAGCTGGTAGGAACACACACCAAGCAGAGAGGGGCACATCAAAGATCTTGTTGGTAACATCTAGCAAGCCAAGATCTCGTTAGGAATTGTGTCCAAAAGGGTTAAAGCTTGGTTAAATATGTAGATTTTTCACAGAAATAACAAAAAGCACATGCTCAATGGGCAGGCCAATTTCCTGCCAACATCCAATCTCAATTCCAAGCCTTTGGGTCATTCCCAGTATTTCAAAGAAAAAAGCTGCCAGACCTTTGTTTTTCAAGAAAGAGAATGTAGAACATCGGCCCCTAGCTTAATTAAAAAAATAATAAAAATAATATATTTACCATGTTTACACCAGAAATACAGAAGATTTCTGTTCTACATTCTCTCCTTTTCCACAGTTAATATTTTATTAATGCAAATAATTCCACAAACAAAGAATGGGTCAAAGTTTATTTTCTAAGTTTCATGGTTTCTTTTTAAATGAATGTATCTTAAAAATTTAACTACGGTATCCACCAGAAATAGCAATGGCATTCATTACTGCCTGCGATTATTTGGTTTGCACAGCAAAAATTGCCTTTTTTTTTCTTTCTTTCGTTGTCATTTTTTAATAGGGATCATAACAGTATTCAGAATTAGCCAACCTAAGTCCTAGCCACCACACCTGGATGTTGGGTACAGCAGCATAATTTCTAGGAATATTCATTTAGAATATTTAGATGTTTTGACCAAGTGCCAACATGTTAATCCTGCACAATCTAAGCACAGAATTTATTTCATTCTCCATGATACTGGATGATACTTCACCTGGAGTACTGTGTCCAGTTCTGGGCTCCCCGGTACAAGAAAGACAGGGATCTCCTGGAAAGAGTCCAGCGGAGGGCCACAAAGATGATACGGGGCCTGGAGCATCTTCCCTATGAAGAAAGGCTGAGAGACCTGGGTCTGTTCAGCCTGGACAAAAGACTGAGAGGGGATCTCCTCAGTGTATATAAATATCTGAGGGGTGGGGGACAGAAGGATGTAGCCAACCTCTTCTCAGTGGTTTGTGGGGATAGGACAATTTCAAGCCTATTGGGATAGCAACTGTAATATATTATCTATGAAGGATTATAAAATAAAACATGGTTCTTTTAAATGATGTAAATTAGTAAATAGAGCATATAGAAATTGATTATTTTTATTCTTAATTTACCCAGAATAAATTGTGATTTACAAGGCTGGATGCTGCTCTAGACCTTTATGAGGTGCTCATTGTGTGGTGGTTGCTTTTTTTTTTTTTTTTTTTTTTTTTTTTTTAATTATCAAAAGATCTCTTCAAAATTCTAGAATTCTGTTTGAAAGGACTGTTGGAAGTCTCTAATCCAACCTCCTGCTCTAAGCATGACTAACACAGACATTAGAGCAGATTGCTCTGGAACCTGCCCAGTTAAGGTCCACTCACCCTGCTCTTTCCCCCTGACTGACCCAGCCCTGCTCTTTCAGTGTCTCTTTGCAAGCCTTATTCCATCCCCGGGTCTGGTTCTTGAAGTTATTGCATCCACTAGCAGGGCTTTGTATATGTTTTAGCTAGTCTGCATTATGCTATATTACGGAGTCCATATCTCCAGTTTGTCAAAAACTGTGACAGTGCCAGAGACCTGCCCTCCTACACATCCACTGCTCCTTTACAGTTTGACTTTGTTTGTGAACTTGATGAGGTTTCATTCCATTTCACTGTTCAGATTGTGGCAGATGATGAAAATCAGCAGCCCAAATACTGATTACTTACACTTGCCACTGCTAACTCGCTGCCAGTTTGAAGCACTGATGTCCATATTTTGAGTCTGGGATCCAGACAGCCTTGTCTGACCTCAATGCCAGGGAAGCTCATGGAGTAGATGATCTTGAGTGTTATCATGCTTACAGGGCAAGCAGGTGATCAGGCCCAGTCAGCATGGGTTTATGAAAGGCAGGTCCTGCTTGACGAAACTGATCTCCTTCTGTGACAAGGTGATGCGCTTGGTGGATGAGGGAAAGGCTATGGATGTGGTCTACCTTGACTTCAGTAAGGCTTTTGACACCGTTTCACACAACAGTCTTCTCAAGAAACTGGCTACTCGTGTCTTGGACTGGCATACGCTTCACTGGGTAAAAAACTGGCTGGATAGCTGGGCCCAAAGAGTTGTGGTGAATGGAGTCAAATCCAGTTGGAGGCCGGTCACTAATGGCGTCCCCCAGGGCTCAGTACTGGGGCCAGTCCTCTTTAATATCTTCATTGATGATCTGGATGAGGGGATCGAGTGCAGCCTCAGTAAGTTTGCACATGACACCAAGTTAGGTGCATGTGTCGATCTGCTCAAGGGCAGGAAGGCTCTGCAGGGGGCTGAATATGAGCCAGCAGTGTGCTCAGGTGGCCAAGAAGGCCAACACCATCCTGGCTTGTATAAGAAGCAGTGTGGCCAGCAGGGCTAGGGAAGTGATTGTCCCCCTGTACTGGGCTCTGGTGAGGCTGCACCACGAGTACTGTGTTCAGTTTTGGGCCCCTCGCTACAAGAAGGACATCGAGGTGCTTGAGCAAGTCCAGAGAAGGGCAACAAAGCTGGTGAGGGGTCTGGAGAACAAGTCTTATGAGGAGCAGCAGAGGGAGCTAGGCTTGTTCAGCCTGGAGAAGAGGAGGCTCAGGAGCCACCTTATCACTCTCTATAAGTACCTTAAAGGAGGCTGTAGTGAGGTGGGGATTGGTCTATTCTCCCACATGCCTGGTGCCAGGACGAGGGGGAACGGGCTAAAGTTGCACCAGGGGAAGTTTAGGTTGGATATTAGGAAGAACTTCTTTACTGAAATGTAGTAAAGAATATATTATCATGCCATCCAGCCTACATCTTACCAGTGGGACTACAACAATTGTGGGGGAGAAAATGGGGAAAGCTTTGCTAAAGTAAAGGCACTTAACATTCAGTCTACTCTTCCACAGAGCCAGTCACCACAGATGCCAAAGAGGTTGGTCAGGTACAATTTCCTTAAGCACTTTACCTTCTGAGACCTGAATATGTTCTCAAAAAATGAAGCTATAGGTATTCTGATTATTTTAAATGTTACAAAGTCCTATAAAGAACATATAGATTAATTTGAGACACATATTGTAGGTTTGTTATGGAAATTTTTAAGATCATACATTCACAATTTTCTTGTCAGTTCATCTTATAAACAAACATTGAATTGTGTAAAACAGATCAGGAAAGATGTGGAATAACCTCTTGGTGCATCAGTTTTTCTGATGTTTCTGATTCATATAGAATGTGAGATTCCTCTGCTCAGAGCACTAGCTGCATCTTTTTAAGATTAATATAAAGTGACTGCTGGCTTTGTAACTAACCCTTTTACTCAGAAGTTACGCAGCATGTCAATTCTCACTTTTCATATTTGACTCCACCCTAATACCTGCTTACATATTCTGCATATAATAAGCACCCAGGTGAATATTTTCATATGAAATACAGAATGCCACCAGTGGAGTTTGTAGGTAAAATGCTCAGAGCTATTCAGAAATTACATTTGAAACTGAGCACATCAAAATGTGGGAAATCTATCCCATTACAAAGTATGAATCCTGGCTGTGGTTATGAAATTGCTGTATCATCATTAAACACCTCAGAGGATGTGAAGTCAACCATATGCTGTCAGGGCTGAGCCATGTGCATCTCAAACATGGGTCTGTGGCAGCTCCCAGTCAAGAGGAAGAAATATAAGGACAATGGGGCACCCAAGCTCCAGCAACCCGTTCACCCAAACTCTTCCTATTAGCCAGGATTTGCATCTCTGGAATTTCCCCCGAAACTGAAAAGAAGATCAAATGTTATGACTGGACATCAAAAGCTATGGAAATGCAGCTCTAGGAAATGTTGTGAAACACAGAGATACAGAGAACTTGTGTGGAGAAGGAACAGCGAGGTATACTTTGCTAAGTGTAGGGCAGCCAAGTGAGAAGGAAACTGGCTTCAAAATTCTGACACAGACATGTATGCACCATAATTTAGAAAAGTTATGTACAGAAATGGATGACAAAGAGGGCATGTACTATGCCCAAAAACAACATTCAAAACTGAGGAAGGGAAGTATATACAGAGTGTTTAGTGTTTTCTCTTCGTGCTCATATAAGGAATCATTGATTTTATGGTATTTTTACAACATCTGTGTTGTCTACTTCAACTATCACATGTTTCTAAGAGGTGAATTGTAAGCCCTGAGTGAGTAAAATGAGAGCTAAAGGAAAAGTGTGTTTAATCTCTCAGGGAACCTACTGACTGAAGACAAATAATCCTCACTAGAAACTGAACCAGGTAGAAACCTTCTGTTTCCAGCTCTGATCAGGTAAAATTTAAAGTGATATGGACTTAGTGAGGCAGAGCTGGAACAAAGCAATCCAGTCCATTTCCAGCTGATGGAACATTATCAAGCCTGTGACACACCTGGGTTTCTTCTTGATATCACAAGTTGAAAATTACAGGTCAATTGTCCCCTTTTCACCTTTAATAAAAATGAACATGATGATTTTAGCAAACATTATGCAATCATGCTTACAGATGGCTCTTTATCATTTGAGTGTTTTTCATTAGTTAAATAACTTAAATTATTATTAAATTATTGCTCTTATTCATTTATCCTGCGAGTCTTCCTATGTTCTTAGCCAAATACTACATGAAGATTTCCTGCCTAAAATAACTACTTGATCCTAATGAAAATACATTTACATCAATATATTATAAAATCACACCTAAAATACTAAATCATGATTTACTATTTGTAGATATACCAAAAATGAAGTCTCCAGGAGATAGGAAAAACATTCACAGCTGTTTTCTTAACATCACAGGTAACTAATTCTGTCCTTAACTGTTTTTGTTTTTGTTTTTGTTTTTAAACACATAAGTATCATTTGACTACTAATTTTAAGAACAATTATTTGCATTTTTAATATTCTCAGCTCTTCTGCACTATTATGTATTTCTGATGTGTTTTAAGACAAAAGCATGAGGGCACATCATCATATACTGTCTTCTAATTTTCTGAGTGGAGAACCACAAGCAGAAACTTTGGAAATCACACATTAGCACAATGTTCAAGTTAGACCATGTCCAAATAGTTTTGACTGTGCTGCACTTCAAAGCACTGGCAAAGCATCACGCAGGATTCTTCCAAGCACTGCTTGATTTCCATAGTGGTGAATCATGACCATAAAAGAATCTGTGTTTTTTTTTGTTGTTTGTTTGTTTTGTTGTTTTTTTTTTTTTCTTCCCCTCCGTGCAGGAAACAATAAAACATCAATAAAAAAATAAGGTCAAGAGAGAACTATAGAACTGTTCTTCAGTGAGGTCTAAGTGGCCAATTCTTTCTACCTGGCACACCCAGTCAAAACATTTGTTATTAAAGAAGTGTAATTTGCTCACTGTGACGCACATGCTAAAATGCCAGGTAAGGATTTAACTCACTCCTAACATACCTAACAAATCATTAGGCATCAATCTCTATATTTGGTGCTACTCATTCCAGTATTCCAAATTCCAGTATTCTATCTTCTCTATCACATCTGTGGACTTAGAACAAATTTAAAATATGGCAACATCTTGGTCACTTAGCTCACAGAAAATTCAACATTTTGTAAAATCAGACATTAAAGCAATGAGAATAAATAGTGAAATTGATTTACCACAAATTCTAATACAGAGAATAAGAAATCTTTGTCTTTCTTTTGAAAGGCATTTCAAAGACTGTCATCAGATTGATACTAGAAGATATGCATGTCCTCAAACAAAATTACTCATCTTTCCAAACTTTTCAAAGCAAACCATTCTTTAAGCTGTATAGAAAAAAAAGACATCTGTTTGCAAAATTATTGTGTAATATACTGCTGCTCTAGAAATATTTCTTCTACAGCATTTTACTTTTTTCCTTACAGATATAAAAGCATTTTGTATCCCAACCATATAAAGAAATGTACGGCTCTCATATCAAATTCCAACATCACACTTTAAAAAAATAAAAAAATAAATGAAAGAATTATGTAAAGCATATACCTGTATAATTATTGTAAAATAGTGTAGTCCTGCTAGTGGTGCTCACAATAGTACAGGATGCATTTTAAATGCCTTTCTTTTTCCCTGTTTTTCCTATAGTAAGATCTACTTAAAAATACATTTGTATTTGAAGCTTGAATCTCCAGGGAGAACAATGAAGAAGAACAAAGCTTAGTGAAATATGAGGTTCAGGTATCTTTTGGAACTCTGTGATCATTTAGAAAAAAGCCCTTCACTTAAGGATGGCAAAGTCAACATCTGAGATGAAAATCTTTCACTGAATACTATTTTTGTATTTTTTGTATACCAAAAGCATGCAACAACAGCAGTCACCATGTACTAACTTTTAAAAAAGCTTTCTTAAAGGACAGATTGTCAAAGTCAGGTATGAAAATATTAGGCACTAAAAGGTTTTTGAGCAGTCCTAAATATCACCTTCTGTTTGTTCAGTAATCCAACAAAAGCGTGATTCATCTCAAGGCTAATAGTTGAGCTGAACTGAAACTTGTAACAAAAATAAATCCCTACCTTTGGAATATCTTTATCTGTTTTTTAAATATTTTAATTGGTAGGGATTTGTGAAGGACATTAAAGCTTTTCCTGTTCCAGCTACAAAATCTACAATATCAAGTTCCACAATCCAACAGTAAAAATAAGACCAAATATTTAATGATACGCACAAAATCTTTCAGTATTTTGTCAGGCAGTGTAACAAAATGAGTAATTTCTTACTGTGAAATACCTGAAACCAATCATTTTGCAAACCAGCTCCTTTCACTCAGTGATTGTAACACACGTACCTTTGCAAAGCACACTCCAGTAGAACTCTCAGACCTTCACAAGCCTTCAGAGTTCTCAAAAAGCACGAAGGTAAAGATGACAGTCACTAGTTCTTTGTATCTCAGAAAATGCTAAGTGGTATATCACCTATCTTAGAAAAAAAGAGGTGATATACCACTTAGAGCCCACATACCCATTGCCACTTATACCCACATATGTGGAGTTTTTCCATGTATCACCTTTTCCTTCATCAAAATTCCCAAACTTTTAATAAAATGTGGCGATGCAAAAGCTTTTCAAAAAAGCCACAAGAATATATTACAAAGGTAACCTGTAAGGTAACACAAGTGTCAGGGTTGCTGATCAGTACTTTACAAAGGAAAAAAAGTGTTCTAGAAAGTTTGGGATTTGTTTTGGTTCTGGACATGCACACAACACACAGAAGCATCAAAGACATCACAGAATATCATCAGCTGTCAATCTGAGGAGACCAAGATTTAGCAAACTGTTTTTTATGTACACCTCCTCAGTTTTTCACATAATGTTGGGTTGATGAATGCAATACAAATCATGATTAATAAAAACTAAATGGATATAACAGATTCTTTCATAAGATTATGTATTGTACTTTGTCATATGTGCTGTGTCACCTTTTAGCAGTAACAGTGTGTCCGTATTAAATTGTAGATATTACCAAAAAAAAATGTAAAATTAAAGTGTACGTTCTTCTTAGCAACTGAATCCTACCAAGATATAATTATGTTAAGTAGCCTAGTGACTAAACAAAATGCTGTCTAACATTTGTTCTGGGTAAACATATTTGTTCTGTTTCTGAAAAAGAACCAGATTCACCTCTGTTCCAAAACAATTTACATGAATTACAACAATAAATGAGTTGGCTTTAAAAAGTGTATGATTTACAGTTTATTTGTGGGAGTTAGATTTCTTAGATCAGTATCTTTCTAATCTGTTGACATAATTCTAAATTATTCCTTAAACTTAATGGTGAGACACATGAATTATAATTCTTTCAAAATACTATTTAATTATCAGAAATAACCCTCCTGGGTGGATGCTAGCTGAACTGGGCTTACACACTAACAATTTTCATATCTGGGGAAATGCCTTTTATAAAGTCGACTGAGAAAAGTAACCACAGAAATGCAAATGGGGTGTCCATTTAGGTCGCTTTAGTCTCATGCGCACCACACGCCAGTAATTCTTCCTGATGCAGCCGCCTGTGTGAGCCCACTCCCAGGCAGTCATCGCCTCTTCTGCTGTGTCTATGCAATCCAGCTGCTATTGTGGAGTGCTGTGGACAGGCTCCTGCCATGCCAACAGCTAATGAGGGTTACTTCTAAAATAAGTGGGCAGGAACCAAGACTGTTCAAACATTTTGTTGAGCCACTTGTGAGCCACTCATTGTGCATGTTGACTTGGGAGAGATAACACTGATTTATGTCAGAATTGGGCTGAACAGAAGAGACTCTTCTGTGGTGTGTTGCTGTTGTTTTTTCTAAGGACCAGTATCATCACTATCCCTCTCTGAGATAATTATGGAAATTTAGCTAAAGGAGGCATAAAAAGACAAGTTGCAAAAAACAAGTGAAAGAATAAACAAGAAGCTTTTCTGTCAGGAAAAATTATCATTTAGGAAAAGTATTAATTGGTGAAGAAATAATGAGGATATGTGTGGTTTGAAGCGTTTTCTAAGCATGCTGTCTTACACTCCTCTGGTGCAAATCAGCTGTTGATGATGCTCACAGTCATTTCAGAAGTTGTTGGGGTTTGTTTGTTTTGTTTTAAAATGAAGGTGACAATTAGGGCATTGCTTTTGTTTCAGAAGTGTGCCTGCTTGTGCTGGTATATCTGGCTGTCAGATACTTTCCCTGTCCTTATTTAATTTAAATTAGTCCAACCACTTGAATGGACATTTGAACTCAGACATTTTGTGGATACCAGATTAGCCACCCTCTTTCCCTGAAATTATATAATATTTTTTCCTCCTTTATTTGCACTATAGTTTTCAAAATATATATAAATATATATATATATTATAAATATATATAATATTTATATATATATATATATAATATCTGCAAACCATCATTTATCAAATGTTTCAAAAAAAAAAAAAAAAAAAACACCAAAACCAAACAGTAATAGCACTGGGTCAGGCAAAACTGAAAGTCTGTTTTCCTTTTTTTCCAGTTATGTATACTCCTTTAAGCCTTTACAGTACATATAGGAGGAGTGCCTACTTCAAGTGTGCAAAGCTTTATAATTTCTCTTCCATGCAAACCAGCCTTTGATGAAACAGTTTTTCATCATCAGCTGTTGTTTAAATTAAGAATATTTATTTAAATACTGTAAAAGCAAAGCTGTAACATTTCAAATAAAATATTTCCTGGACATATATCTGTTGGAAATGTCTGCTTTTGACAGGAGCTGATGACAGCCAAATGAATTCAGCATTAATTTACAATTGTTTCAAACATACATAATGCAGAACATCATGGCAAAATCAGATGAGAACAGAAAAGCTCCTTAGAAAATATAGCTTGCTCAACAATTTCCATTAAGTTGTTTCTTGGCACCAGAAATATTCCTGTGACCCAATTTCCACCTGCTTGTTGGCTTTATGTACTGTCCAAAGTAAAGTACCAACTCAGAAATTGCTGAGCAAAAGGTAAGAAAACATGTATTTTCTAACAGTTTGCTGTGTGCATGACATTATGTCTCCACTTAACTTATGAAAAAAATAGTTATGGATTAGGAAGTGATGGAGACTGCCACATTACAGTTCTTTATGGAACTGCAAGTTAGGAGACTGACTGGTTTTTGTTTTGGCAATTTATACCACCAGACAATCACAAAAAGTTATTGTAGTTAGTATACACCTCCCAAGATTCATATATTCTAGCTTGGGAATTTCACATAATCAGGAAAAAGAGAATCCACACTCAAAACCAGCCATGTAGTCACAAATATTAAATTCAAAATCCTACATTTTCAAACAGATGGGTTCATGGTTTGCATAAGCTTGTGAAGGAAAAATGGTTTAACCGAAAACTTACTTGTTTCTAATTGTATGTAAGCAAAATAGTTCAAATTAATACATGATAAGTTAATAAATATCCTACAGAGTTGATAAAATACTGGCAACCATAACAATGGTAAAGTTACGATATTTCAAAAAGAAAATTTCCCTAGGAAATATGACTGTTAAAATTCTCAGGAGAAACTTACGCATGACCCTGTGTATGTAGCCTGTCAAAACACTTTATCTCAGTCTCTTCCAGTCTCCTCAGAAATGTCAATAACCAAATCCCTTCAGATCACTCAATTTCAACCTGTTGAAAACTAAACAAAGATTACTTAAATAGTAGGGGGGGGGGGAAGGGGGGGGAGGGGAGCCTGTTTGCATTCCATGTTTACATTCCCAGTGTTTTTACTTTGTATTAAGACACCTCATCTTTGTGTAATGATTCAGGGAAAATAACCTTGAATTGAAGGAAGCATGTTAGGTGGTGTTAGGAGGCAATTTATCAGCCCTGCTCAAACACACTTGGCTCCTCTACCCCTCCTTTCTTTAACTCCATGGCTTTAAAAGGTGGGCAGTTTGCTTCCCATCCACATTCCATTCCCAGCAACATCTTTCATTCCGTTGTCATACAAGGGTCCTACAGCCTGGTGCTGATGATAAATATTTCTTTAAATGTTTTTGATCACAAATCATATTCCTAGAAGCCTTCTTACATGACAGTTTTTACACTAAATTATTCTTCCTCCTTCCAGTATTTTGTTATTTGAGAACGCACCAGTGACATTTAGAGAAGACAAAGGTGTTCCTTGCAGAATGTAACACCGACAGCACATGAGAAAGCAATGCCTCTTGGACTTTCTTATTTTTCCTTTTTTTATTTTATATTTTATTTTATTTTATTATGACCTTCCCAATTTCCCACCAGCTTTTCCTTAGCAGACCAAAAATAGCATGTCTCTCAGCTTTTGTAATCTGTTATAAATTAACTTCATTTGCATTAATAGTGGTTTAAAACTGGCTGGAAAATAAAAAGGAAAAAGAACTCAGACTACTTTGTTTCCTTATGTTCTCTTCACCAGCTACTAAAGGAGAAGAGCAAATACTAGCTGGCTTCTCCCATACGGTACCAAGAACCAATTTTCTGGGGGACAGTTCGTAGTATCTGGGAAGGTACCAAACCTTGCAGATCCCTGTACTTCTCACTGACACAGTACAGATGCAGAAGCACTGCTTCAGTCACAGACAGAATTAAAATCCTTGAATGTGACGTTCCACATATGGGAGCTCTTTACCAGAGCTACTCGGAAATAACTATTTCTGCTTAATGCCATGTTTGGGTTCTTTAGGTAAGATTAATCTTAACAAATTTGGCCATTTAAAGATAATATTGGTTTGCCCCAACTGCTGCTTTCTCTGCAGCTGATCGGAAGAGAGCCAAGCAGCTCCTAGAGACTGTGCATTCTCAACCAACACCTGTGTGAGGATAAACCATCTTCCAGAAAGGGTTTTCCTACTGCAATTGGTGTATAGCTTCAGCTAGATGAAGGTTTAATTGGATGTTTCAGTGAAATTAATCCTGTTATATTTGTTATATTTATGAGTACCTCGGTGTTTTATTTAGGAGTAGATGTTTAAGTGTTTCTCATCCTTAGAAACTGACTAATGCAGAAAGTGTTTGACAACCCATTTTGTTAACAAGGTTTTGAGAGAAATACAAACTTTGCCCTTGACAAAGCTTACCCATCATCAGCACCTGGGGAGCTGAGGGAGGGCTCGTGTTTTATTGCCTCTCACTGACATAAATTGTAGATGTTATTTCTGCCTTCCTTCAGGACAGGAAAAATAAAGGGAAAACTAGCAACTGTTCACCTTTAAAAATTGAGATGACTGTGTTCACAATGATTATAAAAGCTGTTAAACAGAAGCTTTAATTATTTCTGTTTATATATTTCTGTTTATATTTTATGTTGCAGCAAAGACAACAATTTGGAAAAAAAGTCAGCAGAAAGTCAGGGAACTCCAAATGCTGAGGTTATTCTGTGCAAAAATTTTCACCACACACTTTCAACATTTATATTACAACAAAATAGTTTTAAAGTTTACACTGTAAATTAAAAAAGAAGTATGGTCAATTTGGCTAAATTATTTTCAACCAAATCCAGTGCAGGTAGCAATTTGCTTGTTGTACATCTGGTATAGAGTACAATGATGCACTTTGCAGGCTGCACATATAAAACATGATGAATGATATTGCAAATGAATGAAAAATATTTTAAGAGTTTGCTATCTTTCTTTCTGAGCTCCAGAAACTTTTTCTCTAAACTGAAAGAACTGTCTCACTTTCTGCATAACATGTGTTTTTCGACTTTCTATACCGTATGGTTTCTAAAACTTAGACACTTGCAAGCCACCTTCTAAGTCTTGTCCTGGAGATATGTGGCTCAGCAACAATATTCTTAGCCATCAACATGTATATGAACTTTAAAAGCTCATTATATTTTACTTATAGATCCTAATATAGGTCCTTATTAAGTTCTAGTAACACCTTCAAAACAATCTGTATTCTAATTCCAGCAATTTCTAAGTTCCAAACAAAGCACAAGTGAAAACCTTGTATAGGTATAAAACACAACAAAGTCTTCATGGGGTATTTGGGTCTTTATAAGAAATCGACATTGAAAGTGAAATTAGTGTTGAAATTTTCTTTTAAGAAAAAAAACAACACAACCTACAGACATAGAAAGAGAATCTTTATGGACATTGAAACTGAAAACAAGAAAATTCTTGAAGACAAGAAATATTGAAGCATTGTTTCTAAGAAGAAGAAGAAGAAAACAAGATGCAACTTACCATAATTTTAATATA